CCATAGGGAGCCTGTGCCCTTACTTCTCCTCCGGACGGCGCTCCTCCTGGTCACTCAGGTCGTCGTCGTCCACCAGGTGGCCGAAGGGCTCGGAGGAGATGGACACCATGTTGGACAGGATGACCCTGCTGTCGCTGCTGCCCGTGAGCACGAGCTGGTCGTGCGAGTGGTTGTAGCGCACGCTCCACACCCTGCGAGGCAAGGAGGCGGGTCTAGCAGCACTCGGACCTTCCCGGGAGGGGTCACGGCGGGGTCGTCAGGCAGCCGACCCCAGACTGCATGGGGCGACGTTAGGAAGGTCCCAGCAGACGGCCGGGCTCACTGCGAGTTTCTCCCAAACCTTCTCTGAAGTCCCGGAAAACAGACACGAGACCGAACGGAAGCGCCCAAAACCCTCAGCTCAAGGGCTGTGCCGGACGCAGAGGGCAGGTCAGCCAGACCCCAGGGCAACGTCCACAAACCGCTGCCACGGGGCCGCGAGCGTGCTCTGGGTCTGCGCCACCGACGTGCCCGCCCAGGGAGCTCGGTGAGCCGAGCCGGAGGACGGGCGTCCCCTCGACCACAGCAATCACAGCCACTCGCTGACTCTGGCGAACTCTACTCCAGCGTTTGGGTTTTTAATTTTCTGACTGCAGAAACGTGGCTTCTGGAAAGTAATTCAAAGAACTCAGATATAGACCATGAGAAGCCAACTCTCCTGTGACCTGCCCGCCCTGGCCTGAGGAAGGACACCAGACAGCAATCCCGTTCTTCTAGATGCTTCTTCCACATACATGCACACACACACGCACACATATACACACAAGGGCACACACACACACAAAGTATAGAGGCTTATGTCCACACAAGCATGCACACACAAGAACGTATGCGCACACACGCACATACGTGAACACACAAGCGTGCACACACGTAGACAGTCACACTCACACAGGCAGTTACGTGTACAAACACACACACGCCTCACTGGAATGAAAACTAGCTCACGGCACGCACGTTGGCCTAGAGCTGCTCTCTCAGTGCTCACAAAGTACCAGACGCATGGTAAACACTAAACACCTCGGGAACGACCGTCGGGGACCCTCGGCGCCCGCACACACAGCTCTTCTCCTGGCCTCACCTGCTGCGCGGCCCCCACTGGCCAGACTAACCGGCCCCCTCCTGATGGGCATTCGGGCGGCTTGCAGCTTCCCAGCACCGCAAACAACACGCGTGAACAGCTACGCACGCTGTGTTTGCGTGTCTCAACTGGCTCTCCTTCCACAGAACACAGACGAAACGTTTTCCTTCTTTGCCTACGTTGATAAATCCCAAACGTTGGGATCCGGGATGAATGTTTCTTTAGGAAAAGTAAAACCGGGCCGACTGAGCGGTTCACAGTGGCCTTTCCAAACGGGAGAGTACCCGGCAGCCGGATCTCTAGCCCCCGCCCCGCCCCGCCCCAGCCAGTCCCTACCAGTGCGAGTGCTCCTCCAGGGTCTTCACGGGCTCGGTGACATTTCGGGTGTCCCAGAACTTGACCTTGCAGTCGTCCCCGCAGCTGGCGAGGTAGTACTGCTTGTTGGGGTTGAAGTCCAGGTCCCGCACCAGCTGCCCGTGGGCGTTCTCTATGCAGTAGATCTGACTGCGGGAGAAAGCGGGGGGCACACACGGAACGTGACGCGGGCGTGAAAACTCCACTCCGCGGACTCGCACCGCCTCCTGTTCCCCATGGAGGGCCAGCCTCCAGGGACCGCGGGTCCCGCCACGGGCCTGCAGGCCGGGGCTCCCCGCTCAGCGCCTCTCCCGGCGGAGCCCAGGCCGAGGCTTCCTCAGGAGCACACCTGTGATTCTTCCCAAGCTGAAGAAGGGACACTGGTTCACAACTGTCACAAAGGTGACCTAGCACCTCGGGAACGAGAGCGAGTCAGAGGGGCTGTCCCTGCCCTGAGGAGTGGGGACAGACTGAGATGGGAGGAGAGCCGACCGAGTTCTGGAAGGACATGGGGAGAGAAAAGGAAAAGGTCGGCGGCAGAGCGGGAGCACAGCGGTGCTGGTGGCGGGAGACACAGACACGGGCACGGAAGAAAAAACTGGAAAAGCATAAAGAGCAGTGAAGGAGACAGGGCCTGTTGTGGCTGGGCTATCCCTCATCCGCTCACGGCCCCTCGTGGCACTGACGCTGGGGGCACCTCCACCACGGCCCAGTGCAACACAGGAGACACGGGGTGCTTTTCACTTCGGTCACGCGGCACGCGCACGCACACACATCCGTACACGCAGGCAAGCGTGCACCCACGCGTGGGCACACATCTGCACACACGTGCGTCCACAGTGTGCGTGCACTGACGTGCACGCACATGTACACACATACACAGGTGCATCCACTCGTGTGCACACGCACACATCTGTACACGCAGACACGCGTGCACCTACATCTGCACACACGTGCGTCCACAGTGTGTGCGCACTGACATGCACGCACGTGCACACACATACACAGGTGCATCCACTCGTGTGCACACGCACACACATCTGTACGTGCAGACACACGGGCACACGCTCACGTGCATACACACACACGTGTACGCACAGACCCAACGGAAACCCGACTTCCACTGCTCCAAGCTGCTCCTCCCAGGGTGGGAAATGAGAACATTCCATCCACATGAGGAGCCCTTCTGACGTCAGAAATGCAGGGAGGCCGCAGGGTGGCTGAAACCACATGGACGCGGAGAGGTCACCGCTGCCCACGGTGCTCTCAGCACATCCCCGCTTGGCTGTGACCGGGCCTCGCCTGCGACCGCGCCCCGTCCCCAGTCCCCCCCGCTTCCTCCTCGCTGGTGAGCCGGCGAGTGGGATCTCCTTGCGCATCTGACAGCCATGCGTGCCCACGCCCTCAAGGAGGCGGGGAGAGTCTTTCCCTTCCATCTACTCCCACGCTGGGCCTGCCGGCCCTAAACCACTTTAAACCTTGAAACGGTTCCTGTATCCTGCACCTTTCTAACACCCGAATACTTTTTCCTAAAAGAAGACAGCCCACCCCGAAGACCTTCCACGTGCAACAGGCAAACATATGAAAGTACCACCGTGGCAGGTCCTAGGGTGCTGCGGGGACAGCCGCACGTGCGCGGAGCCCTGACGGAGGGTTTTCCGTGTGCCCTGGTGGCACGGATTTCGGCACGAGAGCACAGTACGTTCCAAAAACAACATCACAAGCACCCCGGCTAGGCGAACACCAGAGCCGTCGGCAGAAGGAGAACTGAGTCAGCACGGCGCGGGGCTCGTCCCCGGAGAAGACCGGGGCGAGGGGGTTCCCACGGGGCACCGCCACCCACACCCCGTCTGCTCTCCGTCCGGGCTCTGCAACAGCAGCCGCGGAGTTTCTGGCCTCCGGAGACTGTCGTTCTTCCCGCCCTTGAAGGAAGAGTGAAAACAGAGGACGAGGAGGCCACGGGACCCACAGAGACGGGTTTCAGGCGGCACGTCCTTCAGGCCCGTGGTCCTCGGCTTCCAGCTTCCGGCTTCAAGCAATATTCACACCCCGAGGAAGTGGCAATTGATTATTTATTGGCCCCTGAGTTTCCAGAGGGGCCGCAGAACTACATTCAAAGTTGTGCCCCACCCTTGAAGGCCACACAAGCGATTTGCGCCTCGGTGATAAATGACGGTGTGCTGAGGGATAAACTGTATCTTAAGAACGATTGCACGGCTCCCGTTGCCACGGCAACAGATGTGCACCCCATCACTCCTTTGCCTATCAAACCACACCTGGAACAGAAAAATCACTCTTATTTGTTCCATTAGAACCAGTGGCTGTGGCGCATAATGACTTACATGACAAAGTCGGTTACCCGGGAGGCGTGTGTCTTAAAGGCACAGACACGGTCACAGGCACCTCCCCAAACTGAACCTGGGGCTGCACCTGTCACCGTGTGCTCGCTAATCACGGGGACCAGGAGCCCAGCGGCCACCCTGCCCCTGGCGAGGAGCTACACAAGCCCAGTCCTAGTTTTCAGTGCAAACTGCCACCAGTCAAGGGACATCCACACGGAACAGTAATAGCTGAGGAACCCCGTCCGCTGTGATGGGTCTGCCAGCTCCAGGCGGGGCAGAGAGACAAAGCGAGGGCTACGGCCTCCCGCAAAACCAAGAGCGCACACACGCACAAGGGCACACACGCACACACACAAGCGCACGTGCACACAAGCGCGCATACACACACGCTGTGCGACCCAAATACGCCGGACTCAGAGTCGCCCCCTCGTGGATGAGGAGGGGTGGGGAGAGGGGGCAGGGCCCAGGGCACACCCACGAGTCACAACAGCCACTGACCTCATGCTCCGCGTGTCCCACCCTCGGATGGTCGTGTCATTCGCGGTGGCCACCTGGGTACAGGTGTGGTGAGGGCTCCACCGTCCCGAGGTGAACTTCAGCTGTCCCTTCCCTTCCAGGGACGCCGAACCGGCCAGCTGGGAATTGGGTGGTGTCCCAAGGGAAGAAGAGAAAAACAGTAACGTGAACCTTTTTTCACAAAGCGTGAGAGGACGTCCTGCACACACGGGACGTTATGGAAAATAACTAGGGAGTTCTGTCTTTGTCACCTCCCCTTAAAAGGCAAAAACGTTTGAACCTTATTTGGAAAAAGCTATAAAACCGAGCACGGCAAAAATAGAAAGCATACGAATAGCCCCCGTGCCGAATGAGACCTGCCAGGGTGTGCCGGGCTGGCCTGCTCCAGCCCGAAGGCAGCCCCGCCCAGCCACTCAGTCACCTGGCCTCCCCGGCGGCCACATCCCCGCCGGCGAGGTCCGCACGGCTGCTCCAGGCACACGCGCCCCGGCGCCCAGTGCCCGCTGCATCCTGAGTCGGGACAGCAGGGGCGTCTCTAAGACAGTACACGGGCACGATGTCCCCCCGGGCACAGCCGGGCGGTCAGTGCCCGTGCTCCCCGCAGGCCCCCAAGCCGCCACCACTACCATGCGCCTCCCGGGTTTAGGGGAGGCCTTCCCTCGCCCCCACCCAGCTGCTCCGGGCCTGGCCCCCGCCCACCCCCAAGCCCTCTCCTTGGCAAAGCTGGGCCTTTGCCTTACAACACCCCAGGTGAGGTCTCTGCTCCGCCTTCACAGGCAGCAAGTACAACCTATTAATCCTCTCTCGGCACAAAGTTAAAGGGTTACTTCCGTCCCAGGCAAGAGATAGGTACTGTGAAAAAAACCAAAAATTTTAAAAAGGGGGAGGGGGCACCTGGGTGGCTCGGTTGGTTGCGCATCCGACTCTTGATCTCAGCTCATGATCTCACGGTCCACGAGTTCGAGCCCCGAGTCCGGCTCTGGCTGACAGCACGGAGCCTGCCTGGGATGCTCTCTCACCCTCCCTCTCTGCCCCCCACTTGTGCTCTCTCTGCCTCTCTCTCAAAATAAATAAACTTGAAAAAAAATTTTAAAAAAAGAAAAGAAATAGGTACTGTGTCCGTCCTACTCACGGGGACGCGGTGCTGGCGAGGCATGCACGAAGCAGAGCCACGACCAGCCCGGCGCTCTGGGGACAGCAGGACCACAGTCACACGGCCGGAGGGCAGGACAGCACCCAGGGGGCAGCCATCTCCCAAGGAGGCCTGGGGTGTGCCCAGAAATGACGGGGGAGTGGCTGGGGACAGAGGCCGAGGCCAGACGAGCTCATGACGGGAGAACATGGAGAATGAACGCAAGGCTTTCCCAGGCTGACCACTGCTGGTCCAGTGGACGCAGGCCCACACGTGTGCCGGGAGTTCTTGGGGGCCGTGAAGGGACACCAAGGGCAGCGGCTTGGGGCCACAGGCGGAACAGCAAGGTCAGGCAAGGGGTCACGAGGGGCAGAGCGGTCCTGGGAACAGGAGGCCTTGGCTGAGCCGGGACCCGGAGCGTCTCGGGGCGACGTCGGGAACAGCATCCGTGGGGACTCACACCAGAGCCCCTCACCCCTCACCCCTGTGCCTGTCCGCACCCGCTCTGAGCTGCTCTGGCTCCCTCCAGCCCCCAGGCAGGGGCAGCGGCACCCAGAGCGGACACCCACAGAAGACCAGGCCGACCCTGAGACTCTCTGAGAAGTTCCTGGGGAGGGACATGGCCCGGCCCAGTCCGTCAGGTGCCACCAGGACCAGTGGGCGGCAGCCAAGCAGGCGGGTGACAAGGACACACGGACCGCGTGGGGACAACAGACGGCACACCTAGCCGAAGGGGCGGGGCTCTGCCCTTCCTGCTCTGGCACCAGACCTCGCGGCTCCTCTCGGGCCGTCTCAGCAGCCCGGGCGCCGGGGCCCCCGGGAACGCGAGGCCTGAGGGTCTGTGGGAGGTTGCCCCCCACGGAACCCCCGGGGGACCCCGCATGGCACGCAGGCCACCCCCACCAAGCCACAGACGACACAGAACGGTGGTGGGCAATTCACGACGGGGAACTACATGCCGCGCCACGGAGGATCGTGAGTAAGAACGAGGCGGGAGGCGAAGACAGGTGCCCGCTTCGCAGGGGGCATCGCGGCCTGGACGCTAGGGTTCCACACCAGGCACCAGAGACCCGTGGGGGCTTCAGCCGGGCCAGCCGGTTTCAACCGCCGCACTCCCGGCACTGGCTAAGAAGTATGCTCGCAGTTTCTCCTTTAGGGAAAAAACAAATCAAACAAGATTTCTCCGGGCGCTATTCCACATTGCCGGGGATGGGTTAGATCAGATCAGCAAGCAGGACAATGAAGTCAACACACAGCTCCCTGGTTCTCCGTCACACAGACTGGCTCGTCACCGCAGGCTTCAGAAAGGTAAAGACGCGAGGTCACACCTTCAGAAGAAGGGGATGTACGTTCGACAGGGGGACTTGCCCACAGGCCGGTGGGGAAGCGTCACCGCATCGCCCCGGACACGGATGACCCTTGAGCCTCGTCACCGAGCCCTCGGCACTCGTGTCCCCTCTGATTCCATCAGGGCCGCTCGGAGAGGTTAAATCGGCAAAACTAACGAGCACCGTCTGCTTCCAAAGCTCACTCCGCAGAACCAGCCTCCGGCCTCCAGCTTCCGGACTCTTCCAGCTTTCTGAAGGCAGCTGGTAATTAATCCATCAACCAACCAGCAACCAGCGGTGCGGCCGTCAGCAAGCACATCGAGTGGCCCCGGCCACGCCGAGTACGGCAGAGGGACAGGTGGGCAGAGGGTCGGTGACTCGGCCCGCACCACACCCCCCTGCTGCAGAGGTGAGCGCTCCACGTGAGGCTCGCTCCGGTGGGAAGGCTAACTGGTTACCAGCTACCGCGCGGTCCTGTCCTGGTGAGTTCACTGCAGCCGCATGACGTACATGCTAACAGACCCACGTCCAGATGAGGAAACCCAGGTACAGACGTGTAATAACTGCAAGGAAAGCCCAGCCAGCCCGTGGCACGGCCAGGATGAGAGATTACAGCGGAAATCCGGACATCCCAGAGGAAAGAGCGCTGGGCCAGCTGGAGGGGCCAGGCCGGGCACGGTGAGCACCCGGGATGGCCTCTGGGGCCGCACACACCGCAAATCGGTGAAAGCAGAGGGAGGCAGGCACAGTGAGGCAGAGACGGGAAACATACACATCCTGACCGGACAAAGGGCAGAGGGGAGGCGGGGTAGGCTGAGTGGGCAGGGTCCGTGGAAGGTCAGCCCGATGGCCTGAGGGCAGGAGGCTGGACAGCCCGTGGTGGGCAGGGCCCTCCCTAGGTGTTGGCCTTCAAACCGACAGAGCCCTCTGTGCCGAGGGGCGTCCTACACCATGTGAGGTTCCCCACTGCCCCCTGGCTTCGATGAGGCTGGCGGCCACACTCAGAGGCCCGCGTGCAGGGAACCGAGGCCCCAGGCCAACGGTATCCTGAGCTTGGGGCACAACCCCCGCCCCGGTCGAGTCCTCTGATGAGACCCAGACACTGACTCCTGCACGCGGCCCCTGAGAGACGCCAGGGGTGCCCGGCCTCCAGGTCCCTGACGGTCACAGAAACTGTCGTGCCAGGTGGGGGCTGCGGGAGGCAGCCACGTTCCCGGTCATTTGTTAGAGATAAGGGACACGAGCGCCTGCCAGAGGAGAGGGGAGACCACGAGTGATGGGCCAGTCTAGCCCCCTGACGTCAAGCCGGGAAATCTGAGACCAGAGAGGGTGGGCGACGCCCCGTGTCTCACACAGCGGTGGGGCAGGAACAGGACCTGGGCGCTCCCTAGCGCACGATCCGCCCGGGGCAGCGGGAACGCCGTGCCCGAGGTCCCTCTGCAAGACCGCCGGAAGGAGACCTCGCCGTGCAGGTTCTAAGGCTGACCGAGCACACGCTTAGGCTTCCTGGTGACACGGAGACAGAGCTGTGCAGGAACCCCAGAGTGCCGTTCACGCGGCACCCCGCTCTTCAACACTCACAACAACGACCCCGTCCCGAGCCTCCTGCTCCAGAGGGAGGGACTAGAGCCGCCCCCCACACCTCTCTTCACAGACGGAACC